TGCGCCCGTGCCCCCTCCGTGCCCCGCCGCGTGTGCGGAATGCCCGGGCTGGTGCCCCTGCGCCCGTGACCCCTCCGTGCCCCGCCGCGTGTGCGGAATGCCCCGACCTCGTGAATTCAGCGCACTGGTTGAAGCCCTAATGTGTACAGGCCTGAACCGGAGCGACCCTGCCCCTGACTTGTGGGGCTTACACTCTAGTGGGAGAGACCGACCGTAAACCAAACAACGAGATAATTTCAGATAGCGAAAGGGGAAATGAGCGGGGTGAAGAGATGGTTGGGGCAGAGGGCACTGCTTTCAAATCCCGTGGTCAGGAAGTGACACGTGAGGCCGGCATTGTGAGGATCTTGTGAAGATCTGAGGGAGAGCGTTCCAGGGGGAGGGAGCAGAAGTGCAAAGGCCTGAAGCCGGACCGCCCTGGCGTGTGTTGGAGAAAGGGACGGAACGGAGCCCAGCGAACAAGGCGGAGAGTGTGGGGAGGTGAGGTGGGCGGGGCCAGGGCAGGAAGGGGCCTAGAGGCAGTGGTGAGGAGGTGGGAACAGAGGACGTCTTGCTTGATTTGCGTCTTAAACTCATTGGTTGCTCATTCTGTGGAGAGTGGACTGCAGGAAGGCAGGGGTGAAAGTAAGGATCTTGCAAACTGTTTTATTCCACAAACAGGTCGGAGCTGGGCTCTGGGGACGCAGGGAGGAATGAGAGAACATTGACCAGGAAGGGGGATGTAGACAGGGTCAAGTGTGTGCATTTCAACCAGATAAATATCAGCAAAAGCCCAGGGAGGAGTGAAAAAACCTGGCAGGAGAAGCCGAGCTGCGCAGATAAGTGTTTAGACAGCAGAGAAGCGGAGGAAAGGGGCACGTCTAGGCAGCAATGTCTGGGGAGCTGTTTGAGGCTCGAGCCCCTAGTGCTGAGGCCAAAGAGATTGACCAAGGCCCAAGGATGAAGTACCAGGCAAAGATGTTGATCCGAGGTCTGACTGAGACCAACAGCGTGTGTGTGTGCGTGTGTGTGTTAGTTTTGCTTTGCTTTGCAGAGCTAATGTGATATCAAAAGGATATTGTAGTAAACAGCTGTTAAAATAGATATGCCATGAAATCTGGTAGCTAAACACAATAAAGTCCCTGCTCCATTGAATGTCACAGATGTTCCTCTCCAGGCAGGAACTCAGGGACCCAGGCTCTTTTCTTTTCTTTTCTTTTCTTTTCTTTTTTGTGCTGAGGAAGATTTGTCCTGAGTTAACATCTGTTGCCAGTCTTTCTCTTTTTGCTTGAGGAAGATTCGCCCTGAGCTAACATCTGTGCCAGTCTTCCTCTATTTTGTATGTGGGTCACTGCCACAGCGTGGCTGACAAGTGGTGTAGGTCCTGGCCTGGGCCAGGCCACCAGCTTAACCGCTACGCCATGGGCTGGCGCCCCAGGCTCTTTTCTTTGTGTGACTCTGTATTGATACCTGGTTCCCAAAGTCGCCCTGGGGCTGTGCACCATTCCAGACAACTGGAAGAGGAGAAGCATGAAGGATGGCACTCGGGAGGGTTTTATGGGCTGAGCCTGGTTCATTGGCTAGAATTCAGTCACGTGGCCATTCCTCCACACAGAGGAGTCTGGGAAATGAGCTGTGCGCCCAGGAAGAGGGGAAGTAGGTTTGGACATCAGCTGCAGAGAGAAACTGAAAAGTGAGCCTCCCTCTCTTGTCTGAATGCAGCGCCCAGCCCCCACTTCCCCTTTCCCAAGACGTCTTGCTTTCCTCACTTAATAATGTGGGGGGGAGATCTGTAACGGCACACAGGAAAGTGTCCCCATTCTCTTAGATGGACGTTTAGGTTGTTTCCAGTCTTTTGCCATGACAATGCCACACTGTCTATGCTTGACTTGAGAAATTCATAGAAATGGAACTGCTACGTCAAAGGATATTTACAATTTAAAGATAGATATTGCTATACTACCCTCCACAGAAGTTTGATTTACACCCTATCATATCTGAGTCTCCTCACATCCTCACCATTAGCATTAGCTTTGCTAATCTGATAGGTGAAAAATAGCATTTCACTGTCACATTAATTTGCATTTCTCTTCTTATGAATGATCTTGAGCATCTTTGCCTGCATGAAGTCGTGTTTTTCCTCTTTTGTGAACTGTTCATGTCTCTTGTGCAATTTTCTATTGCATTGGTTGTCAGTTTGTTTAAAATTGATTTGGAGGTGTCTTGTGTATATCAAGGCCATTAATCTTTGCATCTGTTGTATGTGGTACAAATACTTTCTGCCAACCATCTTTTATCTTTTTACTTAGTTTGTGCCTTTTTTTGTTTCTGTTTTACAGGTTTTTTTGTTTTGTTTTTTGTGGGGGTGTTTTGGCCAGTGCTTTCTTTTGTTCC